ATGAGTTACGAGTGCGTTGCCGGCCTTTTGGGGATAGGGGTAAAAGAAACGGGAAGGGATAGGTGAAGGGGGGGGGGGGCGATTGGGCCTCCGGTAACCTCACTCACACGGCGAAACACAACGCTGGATTGTTTTACGCCGGTATTCTGTGAGGCCGTGGTATCACTCCGGTCGAGCCGACCCATTCGTGCTGAAGCTTGGCTTTCCCACACTTTACTGTACTACTATCTTTTTGCGTTATAACAATTCGTCCAAATAAGCTTACTTCTTAAGTTCTTTCTGTGACTGAAAATGTTCAACTCAAAAAGTAATAATACCTTCTTTACCCGACTTTTAAAGCCAAAAGCAGCTTACTTTAACACTCATAAAAGAGAAACTGGAAGTTATTACCATGAAGTAAACAACCAGTCGTGGTGGCCCGGAGGTTAAGGCACCCGCTTCTCATGCATGAGGGTGCGGGTTCGAAACCTGGCAAGTACCAATGTGACTTTTTCCGAGTTATATGTACTTTCTATGATTATTTAGACACCACTGACATACGGTGAAGGTAAACATCGTGAGGAAACCTGGATTTATAATTTCTAATTATAAGTTTGAAATCGCCAACCCACATTGAGCAAGCGTGGTGATTAATGCTCTAACCTTCTCCGTATGAGAAGAGGCCTTTGCTCAGCAGTGGGCATTTATAGGCTGATGATGATGATGACGATGAAACAACCAGGGTTCTTTTGCAGAAGCAGAAGAGCAAACGTAACAGGATTTTTAGTAAGAGTCTGAGACTCCCTCTAGTCTATCTCAGGGCGGGAGAAGTCATTTGATGATTTTCCCCCCTCAATAAAAATTCCTGCAATCACAACAAAGAAACGTAACAATTTAAGAATACCAAGAATATAAAGTCAGTATAATATTTACAATCTAAGTTAGCATTTGCCAAAGTGACCTAGATTTGATCTTACAAGCTGAGTTAGTTTATCGGTACAAGTTTTATTGGAAAATAAAATAGTTTATTGGAGAGACTCGGCTCAGGTATTGTGGAAGTATGAAAGATGCTGAAGTATGATTTTCAGAGCAGGTATACCTATTATACGTATAAAATGTGAAATTGGAATATTTTTTCTCTTCATAAGGATTCGTTATGATATTTTTGTATGTGGTAATGATTGACGGATTACCTGATTGTAAGAAATCGGCGCTGTTCATTGACATCCATAACACTGGAGGGAGGACAGAATAGGGAGGTCTTTCGGGGGTTAGGGTTTTGGAGATTTAGGGATTGGGGGAGGGGAAGGATTCGGCCTCAACACTCGCTCAATACTCGCCGAAATACAACGCTGTGGTTGTTTCACGATGATACTACGGCCAGGTGGTATCTCTCTGGTTGGGCCGATCTATTCGTGCCGAAATTTAACTCTCTCACAATTATATAATTATAAAAAAAAACGTTTTATGTCTTTACCTGTAGCTAATTGAGTTTAAGGTCTTCAAGGGGCTTTAGGGACGAGTATAAGTACTATTTATTGTCTTAAATTTCTCAAATCGGCAGTAATGATTCGAAGACTTAAAAATTATATTGTGTTTATAAAGATTTTCTTTAATAGCACGAAAACTGTACCAGTTAATTTACAAAAATAAAGTTCTTTATACACCTCTGCAAAGAGTAACAAGTATTATTTATCTTTTAAAACAATTGAAACTTAAAGTTCCTTGACATAAAATTCAAATTAACATCTCAGCAACAATTTATCTAACTGATAAAGTATACAGCCAAAAAATGTTCGAATCTATATTACGGAACTAAATCATCTATCCCGCTCTATCTTTTAAAAAACATACGAGAAGAAAAGAGACGTATATAGCTTATCTTTTCAATAATCTCCTTTAACGTGGGAAGACTGACGGACCGTGAATTTCAATATTAATAAGGTATTCCCTCTACCAAGTAATAGTTTGTTTCATAAAAATCTATTACCGATCCCTTTTCTTGGCGTCCTATCAAAGAGAATTTGAATTTTTGATGTTTATCAAAATATGTTTATCGATTTTTGGAGACGCATGCTTCGGCAAAATGTCGTGGTGGCCCGGAGGTTAAGGAGCTCGCTTCTCATGCATGAGGGTGTAGGTTCGTAACCTGGCAAGTAACAATGTGACTTTTTCCGAGTTATATGTCCTACTTTCTTAGATTATTTAGACACCACTGACATACGGTGATGGAAAACATCGTGAGGAAACCTGGACTTATAATTTGTAATTATAAGCTTGAAATCGCCAACCCGCATTGAGCAAGCGTGGTGATTAATGCTCTAACTTTCTTCGTATGAGAAGAGGCCTTTGCTCAGCAGTGGGCATTTATAGAATGATGATGATGCTTCGGCAAGAATGGACCTTCTCGACTGTAGTGATACCACGGCCTCACAGACTTCAAAGCGACGTGAAACTACTACAGCTTTGTATTACGCCTAGTTAGTGAGGTTATCGGGTACTACGCCTTCACAGAATACTGGAGTGAAGCAACATTTACGTTGTGTTTCGGCGTATGAGTTGAGAGTGACTGCACGGTTGGTGCGGTGGCTGGGCAACTGGCTGCCGTGCAACGTGTCGCGGGTTCGATTCCCGCACGGAACAACACTTTGTGTGATGCACAAATTGTTGTTTCGGGTCTGGGTGTCATGTGTATGTGACATTATATGTTTGTAAACGCACCCATAACACAGGGAGAGAAAATCCTAAAGTGGGGTGACGTTACTGAAACAGGATAGGACATCTACAGTATCATGATTATTCTATATTTCTTCAATATTATTATACACACACGCCCTCCCCTTCAATCACTCTATCTATAAAAAAACCGCATCAAAAACATTTGCGTAGTTTTAAAGATTTAAGCAAACATAAATAGGTATATAGAGACAGAGAAAGCTACTTTTTAGTGATAAAAATTCGTCCAAATCAAAAGAAGCATTAACACAATTAACATTAATCTCAAAATAAAATGCAATAAACTCAACTTCAATAAAATTAAAAATAAATAAAAGAACATTAACTGGCAACAAATAAAATGTAAAAGATATAATTAAAACTATTTCATTTTCTTGTCTTTTATTTATTTTAAAGTTGTTGAAGCAATCTAGGTCTTATATTAAACAGAATAGGATTAGAATTCAGATGAAACTGTTAATACAAATAAAGGTGAGCTTAGAATTAAATGTAGAATAAGAGATTTGTAGAATAATGGCACAATTTGAAAATAGATAAATTTGAAATTTAGAATGTGATTTTTATAAAATTATGTTTTATGCTGGTGGTAAAACAGGATCTGTATCGTATATGAAATGCGAATTACGACCTTAATAATAAATAGATAAAATATGTTTTCAAAATTTAATGCCAGTTATGAAATGAAACACAAAAACAATTTGATACTCAATTAATCAGTTAATAATGAAAAAAAATGACATTTTAATTCCATTCTTTTACTTATTTGCTCCTAAAACCACACTAATCTAAATTGTATTCATTAAAGTTCACGGTCCACGTTCGTAATAACACGAGATAGCTTGATCGATTTCAAGCCACTACCGGGATACAAAATCACTGTAAACAGTGCACAGATTAAAATAAAAATAACGTTTTTAAGTTATACGGCTGATTTTAATTTACCTCCTGTTCATATAATCGATACGTAGGTACATAACATTGGTTCGTGGAAACTGTTCGTGTGTGAATGGAATAATAAATTTATTGATGATATATATGTATATATATATATATTTATTGATATTCCGTGTTATGTGTTTGAGTTTAGAACTGATATTAATTATTGACAATTATCAAACAGATTACAAATATTAAAGGGTCATTGACTTCCAGCATGCTCTTTTGTTTTAGACAGTATTTTATATATTTCAAATATTTAATATTGTTTGTATTACTACGAATATTTAGCTTTATATAAGTATAGTTTTTAATTAATATCTTGAAAAGGCATTTTTGTATACTTAGTAAGCGAATAATTTTATTGTTGTCAAGACTTTGTCTTTGATAGTAATATTAGTTTGCAAGACAAAGAGGTTTGAATTAATAATGTCATTCTTTTATTTGAATATTTAGAATCTTTGCTGAGAAAAAACATAAAGATTTTGAAATAACCGGAGGCCCAATCCCTCCCCTTCCCCTATCCCTTCCCAATCCTTATATCCGCAACCCCTATCCCGAAAAGGCCGGCAATGCACTCGTAACTCCTTTAGTGTTGCGGGTTGCCCATGGGCGGCGCCGATTACTTAGCATCAGGTAATCCGTCTGCTCGTTTGCCGACTTAATTACCATAAAAAAATAAAAAAAAAACAATTCCTAGTTTGTGACGTAGATAAATAGTTTTCTTTGCATAAACATTACAATTACTGTAATCAAGCGTGTAGTGTCGTGGTGACCGCCACCACGACACTACAAGCCACCCGCTTCTCATGCATGAGGGTGCAGGTTCGAATCCTGGCAAGTACCAATGTAACTTGGTCCGTGTTACATGTACTTTCTATGATTACTTAGACACCACTGACATACAGTGAAGGAAACATGGGCTTATATTTGCTTATACTCTTTGAGCAAGCAAAGTGATTAATGCTCAAACCTTTTCCATGTGAGAAGAGGCCTTTGCTCAGCAGTGGGCACTTATAGGCTGATGACGATTCTTGTTTAGTAACTAGTTATTTTACTTTGTAGTCGACATTGACAAATAACACGCAATAAGCATTTTTTGGAGAGCATTATATTGTTCGTTTTTCAAATCAAAAATGTCTGAGAGAATGAAATATAAATGATCAAGCGTGAAACCTTTTTAGTTTCAATCGTATTTAATAGATGGCGCTGTATTTAATTTAGTTAATACTCCATCAACGATGATGACTGTAGTTAAGCATAAGAAATCCAGCCAACCCAAAATCTAGGCCATAAACAGCATAACAATTAACACTGAACTAACTGCAAGATGTTCTCTATTGTTTCAGAACTAGCGGTCGGATGTCAGAAAACGTTCTGTCATTCAAGGCAGACGCGTCTGACAACAAAGCGAGGTATACCTGCGAAGCCAAGAATGTCATGATCAGCAACACTTTGAAAGCCGAAATAGATCTGACTGTATTATGTAAGTATTTGTTTTATTATCTTACTACTTAGTATTATAAATGCGAAAGTTACGATGTTTAAATGTTTGTTGCTCAATCACGCCGCAACGGCTGGACGGATCTGAATGAAATCTAGCACAGGCATCGGATACACTCCGGAATAGGACATAGACTACTTTTTATCAACATACCACGCATATTATTTAATGTTTCTGCCTGAACCACAAAACGTTAGAATGATCTTTCGGTATTTCTGAACCGATACGACCTTCAAACCTTCAAGAAACGAGCGTACTTCTTCTTAATACGCCGGCAACGTGCCTGTGAACCTTCTGGTGCTGCAGGAGGGTGGCGCCGATCACTTACCATCAGGTGATCCGTCCGCTGTTTTGCATCCTATTCCTGAATAATATAACATTTTTTTTAATAATGAGAAGGCATTTGGCCGCTATCCCGCCTGGTGATAAGCGATGATGCAATCTACGATGGAGCACGTATACACATAAGCAACCTATTCACTCGGGCCTTGAAGACAACCAGGTTCCCTGCCCTCCGGTGAATAATTCCACTCCTTAGCGGTTCTGGTCATAAAAATGGAAGCAAAACGCTTCGTACGTGTAGGATGGATATCTACCACAAAGTGATGATGTTTGCCAATTGTCTGGTGAAAGAAATTGATGTTTTTTTTTTAATTAAAATCATCTTTATTATGAGTAAAAAAGGCAACTTGCAAACACAATAAAGTCTTTTATCAAGAAATACCAACAAATTAGTTAGGTACAAAGTATGAGAATTAATTCTACTGAATCACAATGATACTCAATTAACTAGAATCCTTATTAATATGGACATTCCTTAGCCATGTAATATCAAAAAAAAGCAACCAAAGGCAATTACTGTACATTTGAAATAACAATTTTATTAAATTCCCTCATTGTTATTGTAGGATTCCTTATTAAAACATTGAATTCTATGCCTTAAAGGGATATGGAAATGGTTCAAATTTCAATCTCATTTTAGATTCGATTGAAACGTTTTGATTATGTACAAATTATATTGTAGGTATGTATATAATATAGACTAGTTTAGAACGTTAGTATAGCATTTCTTCATTGCTTATGGGATCAAAAAAAAATCCGACGGATTACCTGATTGTAGGCAATTTGCACCGCCCATAAAAACCTGCAATAGTTGAAATAATTTGGACTGCGGTGCCAACTTTTTGGAGATTTAGGGATTCGAGGAGCGGAAGGATTGGAATATTTGATTGGATAGGAAGGCCTCTGGTAACCTTTACATCCAGCGATACCCAACGCTGTAGTTGTTACACGCTAGTTTTCCTGTGAGGCCGTGGTATCACTCCGGTCGAGCCGACCCATTCGTGCCGAAACATGGCTCTACCACACTTATATTATTATCTCATTACCTAACTGACACTTTGTTATCATCCTCTTCCTAAAAACTTGCAGTCATAATAAAATCCATCTATCAAATGACAGACTATCCCGTTGGTCAGGTTTAACTCAAACCCCCTACCCCCTCACAAGTAAATAATCCCCACAAATATCCCTGAAGCTAATGAGATTAAGTTTTGATACTTTATTATGTTGTATTTTATCACAAACTTGGTCTAAAGTATCAAAACTTTTCCGTTTACGCTCAGGAGTTACAATGTTCGTATTAAAAACTGTACAATGTTGTACTGTAGCTTCTCACGTGTGGAATTTTCTTGAAAACCCGACAATTTTTTTTTTAAGTTTTCCCCACACTATGATTTTCTCCTGTGTCGTGGGTGCGGTTACAAACATACAATTTCACGTGCACATGACACCCAGACCCGGAACAACAATTTGTGGATCACACAAAGAGTTGTTTCGTGCGGGAATCGAACCCGCGACACGTTGCACGGCAGCCAGTTGCCCGGCCAACGCACCAACCGTGCAAATGAAATGTTTTGTTATTATGTAAATGTTTTGTTAGAAACAACCCGAAACAACCGTATATGTATAAATAAAGAAAAATTTTTCATCAAATAAAAAAAACATACTTCACCCGAACCAAGATTCCAACTTCTCATTACATTTTCACTTACATTATATAAATACCTACTACAAAATTACAGTTACATAAACAAAAGACAAGTTAAGTTACACATTAAAGAAAATAAAAAGAATAATAACAGTTTTCCAAAGTAATATTATAAATGCGAAAGTAACTCTGTCTGTCTTTTCTTCACGCCTAAACTACTGAACCAATTTCAGTGAAATTTGGTACAGACATATGTAGTTTGGATCTCGAGAAAGGACATAGGATAGTTTTTATACCAGAAATCTACAAGAAGTCACTTTTCCACGCAAACGGAGTTGCGGGCAAAAACTAGTATTAAAATTAAAGTGATAGAATTATCCACCCTCGATCGACTCGAAAGCAAGCCTAACAAAATGGAAGCCAAAATCCATTCCGAAAATAAACGAAAACCTAGAATCCACTAGATTGTTATCACTTAGCACAGAATACAGGAAATTGTTAGAACAATGGAGTTTTCCACTGAAAATTTCAGCCTTCAGACGTTATAATACTTGTGTTCAAGCTACTAGGATCAAATTACTGAGATTATTTTGTTTTCAAATAACATAAAGCACTGTAATCGTCTGTAGAGATATCGTTTTCAGATTTCAATCTGTTTTGTATTTCATTTTAATTCAGTTTATTTTTAAAATACAATTTTGTTTTTCTAAATATAAAATACTTTGTTGTGATTAAAACACTATTTATTGATTAGAGTATCCTGAGATTTGGGGATTAGGTATGGTATAGATTTGGAGGGAGGGAAGATCCTGTATCCTTGCTATCACAGATCGAGTTTCTGTGAGGACGTGGTAATACTCTGGTCGTGACGTTAATCCTTGACCCTCTCGCAGTTAAAATAATTATATCTCATATTTTAAATTAAATATTTCAAGGAGTTTTATAACCTTTATTCGACAAGTGTAGTAACTACTTCTGCTTTGTTCCATAAGTTAAAAGAGACTGCGGAAAATAAATATAATTACAATCCAAATTTATTTAGTTTAGCATGTAAATTTATTTAGCATAATAAAAGACAAATATATCCTCAATACATTACTCGATAAACCTCTTTGGTCCTCGCTGCATCTCCCAAATCCCAGTGAAGCTATCAAAAGATGTCCAACATTATGTAAAGGAATAATTCTGTGAGCAAGCAATGATGTAGTACCCTAGAGTACTTTATCCTTTGATGATATTACTCTATTAGGTGAACGGTAGTCAAGAAGCGCAGTAATTTCGATATCGTGTGGTACAAGTTATAAGATGAGTGCGGTTTAGTTTCGTTTTTTTTAAAGCTTGTTTTAACTGGAATTTTTACTATGTCATGGGTGCTTTAAAATACATATAATTTTGACATACTCACACACGATACCTAGACACTGAAAAATAATAGATCGATCCCACAAAGAGTTCTTTTGTACTTAAATATAGTAAAATTTTTGTGTAATTTTGTAAAAATGGTAAATTTTTTGTGTATCTACAAATATTCTTGCTTATAAACAAAATTAGAAATATCAAGCCTTTTGTATTTTATTATGTTTAATATAATTAACAAATTATCATTTTAATATATTGTAATATACAATTAAAAATTCTATTACCTTAAACCGCCAAAGCGGCAGTCACAGGCAATATTATATTGAAAATTGATGACTTTATGATAGGATCGACAGAAACATAAACTCTCACAAATTTTTAATATTACTTGCTAATTTGCGCGGTTTCCCGCTGCTCGGCTCCACTTGATCGTTGCGTGATGTTTTATAGCCTATAGTACTCAGCTGTAGCTATCTATCAGTGAATTAAATTTTAGCAATCCAACCATCGGTTTCAAAGATTAACCCCTACATACAAACTTACAAATTTTACCTCGTATAGATTACGAATAACTAGAACCAATATCATGGCTCTTATAACTTACACCATATCTCAAACAAGAATCCCCGAAATCCCGTCTTATTGTTTATTTACAAAGAACAGGCAGGTAGCCAGATGTAGCGAGTGCCCGGTCGACCGTGGAGTAACCCAGTTTTTTCCTTTACAAAACACATTTGCTTCACTTGTCAAAGACTTTTGAAGTTTCACATCGATTTTGAGATGTTGAATAATGTTGTACGTTTAAGTATTGCTATGTTAGTGATAGGATGCTAGCAACGTTATAGATCTTGTGGTTCTGTAGAGTATACTATACGAAGTGCACTACCTAAGCTTGACCAAGTAATAGATAAGTAAAGTTTTAGTGTGGGAGAGCCATGCTTCGGCACGAATGGGTCGGCTCGACCGGAGTGATACCACGGCCTCACAAAAAACGGCGTGAAATAACCACAGCGTTGTGTTTCGCCGGTGTGAGTGAGGTTACCGGAGGCCCAATCCTTCCCCTTCCCCAATCCCTCCTAAATCCCTAAATCTCCAAATCCCTAATCCCTAAAAGGTCGGCAACGCACTCGTAACTCCTCCGTTGCAAGTGTCCATGGGCGGCGCTGATTGCTTACCATCAGGTAATAAGTCTGCTCGTTCGCCGGCCTCTAAAAAAAAAAAACTATTCCAACCTTAGAAAAAACATCTTCTCTGTTGACGACCAACGACTAGTTGGCGTTAAGTATTTAACTGAAACATAATACTCACATTTGTAATCATTTTTAAATAAACAACATAGCAACGATTATTAAAGAAACGAAGATTAACTCCAAAACTCGTTGCCTCAAAGAGCCAAAAGACCAACACAGATAGAGCCTAATAGGGCTGATGTTCAGCTAAGGTTGGAGGGCAATAAGGTACCACAGCCTCAGCCCTAAGCAGGAGAAGGAACAGGGGGGTTTTTAGTCAGTAAGACTCTGACACTCCCTCTCTCCCGGACGAGGAACGTCACACGAAAAAAACTACAAAACCTAATTAATTAGTATGTATATTGCTAATTACTTAACAACCGTTTACTAAAAGCAACTAAAGTCAATTACGTATCACTCACCCGTTTATCTTACGAAGGGTAGGTAAAAGCCAATTAATACTAATTAGTTTTATCTCCTAGTTGATAGTAATCAGTGAACCCGTTGATGTTGGGAGTAACAGAAGTTTCGAATGGGGTCATTCTCGGCAATGATTTTGGATTAAGACAGAAATCATCTGAAAAGGCGTCAATTTCTTTAATACATTTTGAATCTTATATGTTTAGATTAAAGTTAAAAATGTCTTTGTGGGATTTTTAACTTAGTGACCAATTTGTCGGTGTGTTTACCAGGTCAGGCTAAGAATTACACAGTTTATGGAAGAAGGTTTACCCTCATTGCATAAGATCCTTAAGAAATTTGGTAATAAAATGATGACGCATATAAAATAATATATAGCTTCCTTTTTAGAGATTATAAATACAGAATGATAATCACAGACACATAACAACCAGACTTAGAATAACAATTTGTGGATCACACCAAGAAGTTATTCCGTGAACAACACGAACCTGCGACACGTTGCGCGGCGACAGTTTCCCAGGCACAGAACCAACCTTGTAATAAAAGGCATTGGAAAAACTAATAAAATATTTTTACGCATATTTTTTTCGTAAATAGGCAAATATTAAACACATCTTTTAACCGATACACTTCCTATATATATTACGTAAATCACGAACTTCCATAGCTACATTCAAATTTATTTGACATTTATACGAAGAGGGTAAACTTTTAATTTGTTCCGTCTCCATTGCCGCTCTACACAAGTTTTCCGAACGTATTTTTACGTCAAACTCTTACTTCTATCGGGTACATTTCAATATGTACATTGAAAGAGGAATTTCTTTTCCAAAAAAGTTTTATTATGATATAAATTCAAATCGATACTAGTAATGTTTGGATTTAGTCTGAAAGCCTTGTTGTAAATTGTGATGAGATATTATTATCATTCATTGTCAATTTAAGTTTTATTATTGGACAAAAATACTCGTGTAAGAAAATAATAACGAACAAAAGATGAAAATTATTTCGTCATTCGTAGTGTAATAATATTTTAAAATAATAGATTTTCTTCAAAATAATTTATCGCAAACGACCCACTAAATTACCTATAACTCTTCAGCGAAGTAATTGGCCAATAACGAGATGTGAAACATTTGAAATTTATATTTTATTCCTTTGTACTTAAAGTAGGTATTAGAATTTCATCCATTTTCTTCGAACCACAAAATTGCACTCGAAATAAGAGTACTAGGTATTTTATGAGAGCTAATTCAGGTTTGATTCTGTACTTACCCTGGGTGTCCTCATGACTTTCAGACGACCTGTGAGACGCGAGACATAACTACGTTTATTATAATTAATTCTGTTCATACTCGCATAGATATAGACGATCCACTGACTTATACAAATGTCAATTAAGTTGCATACTTTGTTCTTACGCTTCAAGTAATCTATGAATTAAACAAAAAAAACACGAAAAATTAAAAAGCATTTTTCGCTGTCCTGTGCCAATGACATAGAGGTCGAAAGTTGTACTAGATGCGACTAAAATTTATTGGGCGACAGATAAGCTGGCGCTTTTAGTTATATTACAGAACATAGATTAGTTTGACAAATATTTTTTGTATAAAAAGGGTGAAATTTTCGAGTTGAACGTAGCTAAGTGCCGAACTATTTCTTTACAAAATGAAACATTTGAAATATCTGTCTAGTAATATTAGCTCCAATAAATTACCTAGATTTTATACAATTTATCTGGCTATCACAGCCAAAAGTAATGCGCAATATTGTCCTCAAAAACAAACAATTATTTAAAAAAAGAATATCACGCATCTCTACATACTCTTAGTATAAAACAAAGTCGCTTTCTCTATCCCTATATCCCTATGTGTGCGTCAATCTTTAAAACTACGCAACAAATTTCGATACGGATTTTTAATGAATAGAGTGATTAAATAGGAAATGTTACATGTACAATAACATCCATTAAATAGTGAAGAAGTTTTGTATCAGCATTATACCCGTGCGAAGCCGGGGCGTTTAGCTGGTACACGATTAAAACCAAACCAATTCTTTAAAATAAATAAGATTTTCAATCAAATTGATTTTCTACTTACTCCTGAAATTGCAAGCTTTCAGAATGTAATACATTCTGCATAATATCGTGGTTACGAAGCTTAATTTGATATTAGTCATGTATAACATTATTATTATTAACGTTGGGCCACTAGCCCAGAGTTTAAGGCGCCTGCTTTTCAAGCACATGCCTTGCGAAACCTGGCAAGTACCAATGTGACTTTTCCCGACTTATATGTACTTTCTATGATTATTTAGACACCACTGACATATGGCGAAGAAAAACACCGTCAGGAAACCTGGACTAATTAGTCCAGGTTTCCTGACGATTGGCGATTTGAAACTTATAATTGGAAATTTCCAATTATAAGTTTCAAATCGCCAATCCGCCTTTAGAGAGCGTGGTGATTAATGCTCAAACCTACTCCGTGTGAGACGAGGCCTTTGCTCAGCAGTGGACACGTATAGGCTGATGATGTGATTAAATTATTATGCCTTAAAATTTGCTAGCAATCTGATTTATTCAACGACATGCTCGGCTTTTATATTCAATGTATAGTTATCAAGTGTTGACAGATCAAATCCTTTTCTAATGTGACCTCTGGGTCATTGATTGGAGATGGATGTCTTTATTAGTATGTTTAGTTTTCGTTTCATTAATTTTATGTAGGAGACAGAGCGTCTAGCCATAAAAATATAGGCTCTCAAATGAACTGAATATTTATTTAGCTTACAATATCACCATCAGCCTATATAAAGCGATTCCTCACACAAAGAAGGTTTGAGTATTAATCAATACATTTCAAGGCAGATTAGGGATTTCAAACTTTTAAGTTAAAACTATAAGATCAAGTTTCCTCATTCACCATTTGCGGATTCGCCTCTTAGTTTGCTGATCGATCCTAGAAACCAATATAAATATAAGAAATATGTAAATTCTGCTAAATATTCCGCCATAATTATAACCTAGCTCACAGCTAGAATAACATTCGATAATCTTATGCATTTTCAAAACGTTTATAGAATATGGGGTTTTATTTTGTAGTTAATAGAATCATTTTTAATACCAATTCTTTTGTTACAGTTGCTCCCTCCCACGTCACCATCTCTGGACCATCAGAAGCCAGGGTTGGGGATCCAGTGCCCCTGACCTGTAGCACTGCCCCATCAAACCCTGCAGCAGACATCAAGTGGCTGGTGTTAGGGAAACACCATAAGGAAGCAAGCAACAGGACTGTTATATCTCCTGAAGGTAATTATAATATGTTTTAGTTGTAATATTAAAATAGAGAAGTTTACTGATTTGCACGTATCTTGAATAACAAGGGTTTTGTGAAAATTTTCCCCGAGAGATGGCAGCTCTGTAGCGTTTGGTCCAACCCGTCAGATGACATTCACGGTTTATATTTATCGTTTTTTCTTTTTGCAAATTAATACTCGCAAACACTCTTTTGAGCTCAATTTTCAGGTTGGCAACCTTTCTTTGGCCGTAATCCATAATAAAATCAATAATACTTCCAAATACATAAAATTTCTCTAAAAAAACAAACATTTTGTAAGAATCTTTCCTATTTGATAGCTGTTTGGACTTGGTTCTATCGCTTTATATATTTCTTGAACTGAGCCCAGGTTCATATTCGACCCTTAGTTGGCTTAAAGACCATCAAAATATAAAAACAAACATTAAAATATAAACGAAACTCAGCAGTTATCTTACAAAGAACATCTCTCTTACATATCTGCACAGAATCACAAAGAAATAAAACGCAAAAGAACTAGGTACTAGAACGTGCAACATAATATCCTTGACCGATATACAATACTAGAATAAGACCCAGCGCTTTATAACAAAGAGCGGAGAACTAGGGAGGTTGATATGAAACACAATACAACTATTGATTTGCAAAGCAAGTGAGCTCAGGGACGCTTTTAGTATTTTTAGTGTCGTGTCTCTTGTAAAAATGTTGAGTATTTCAACTTTGAAAGGATAGGTTTTGTTTTGGTCGCCAAACGAGCAGACGGAATACCTGATGGTAAGCAATCAGCGCCGCCCATGGACACTCGTTATAACCAAGGAGTTACAAGGACGTTGCAAGTCTGATGTGGGTTCCCTAATTGGAATCCTTAATGGGATTTAAGGATAGGGGATTTGAGGATTGGGCCTTGGAAAATGGTAATCTGAACTAGGATTTTCTTTGTCATAATGGTCATGTATTTGGCTTCTATGACACCTGGTGGTAAGCTATGATGCGACCTTCGATGGAGCATGCTTCCCCATAAGCAACCCATTCACTCGGGCTTTGAAGTCCAGGTTATACCTTTCAGGGAACACAAACTCCGGCAAAGAAATCCAATCTTTCAAATCAAATCTGATCTGTAGTCTTTATTCGAATCGTTATCGTTTAAACCCGAGTTATGTAACATCAGTCCGTTTTTTCAATAAGGGCCAAGCAGAAGTATAAATACTGCCTTTTGTCCACTCATGTGATGCCACCCCATAACTCACTTTATGCTAACATCAATTACAATTTAGCACTTCCAAATTGAATTTGATTCGGCTCAGCTCAAGCCAAATCCACTTAAACACAAAATATATATGGGATAGTATATCCGACAGATGTCCTGTTTGGATCCAGTTTTCTGGTCGAATTTGAACCTAATTCTGAATAATGCAGGTACAAATTGATCCTGAAAGGTGTAACAAAAAACATATAAAGTAATAAAGCCTTTACTTAATGAAAATCGAACGCTAAAGGCCGTTGTTATCATTGAGGTCTTGTGTGAAGTGTGGGAGAGACTTGCTTCAGCGCGAATGGGTCGGCTTGACCGGAATGATAGCACGGCCTCACAGAAAACCTGTGTGAAGCAACCCTGACGTGGTGTTTCGCCGTGTGAATGGGGTTACCAGAGGCCTAATTCTTCCTCCCTCCATTCTTCCATCCTTGTGTCCTCAATCTTTAAATATCAAATCATCCACATGAGGCAGGCAACGCACTTGTAGTGACTCCTTTAACACTTCGAGTGTCCATGGGCGGCGCTGATTGCACGATGTTTCCCTTAACATTTTTCTTACATGTACATATATTTTATGTTATGTATTTGTTCCCAGGTGGTTGGATAACGACATCAAACATCACAGTTGTGGTCGAGCCGAACAAAAGGTCTATAGTGGTGGTCTGCCACGGAATCAATGGGCAACTCACTGAAAACGTCGTTGCTACACACACCATCAATGTATTATGTAAGTATATAGATATAAGGTTCATTTTTCCATGTACAGTTAGTGTTAGGCAAGGATCCTTATATTATGTATATTGTTTATTCGTTTTTTTTATATACATATAGAGCTGAAGTTAAATTAGACTTTAATTAACAAAAAATGCAGTTGCTTTTCGAACATAGGCTTACCAGTATGAAAATAAAATAATGTATTTTTTAAAATAATATTAAACTATTTTTCTTAATATTTATATTCATAGTTTCCAATGTGTCATAAAAATCCACGCACGACGTAAAATAACGAGATATTGAATGTCATATTATTTTTCATAAAATTAATAAGCGATTCAAGTAAATTGAGATTTAGACATTTTATTGACATTCTCTCATTATAAACGATACGTAAACGTCAAAAGAAACATCTTCAAAATATTGATAAGCAATTCTTAGAAAAATATTTGCGCTAAAAAAATATACTATACATACCTATATTTATTTGAGAAAGAAAATTTTATAAATAAATAATGGCTCGACGAATTTGTGAAAAGTAACGACAACAACAGAATTCTAAGTAAAATTCTTTGACTGACAAATTCAATAAATAATAAAACAGAAATAATTCATGCTCTTCGAAATATCATGGACAAACAAATTCAATGATTCAATGATTTCTCAGTATTAAAAGGAATTGCGGAAACAACGGAGTTTGGGAAAACTGACTCAATGAACATAATAATATTATCAAATACAAACTCTTTGTGTGACCCACAAATTGTTGTTTGAAGGTGTTATGTATCATGTACCTATCTGGAAAAAAATAACAGAAAAAAGTAATAATACGACAGTTTCCAACCAGTCAAATCAATACTTTTATCCAAATGTCGAAAACGATACTTTTCTATGAAATTTGTATGAAACACTGAGTTATGACGTCATAGTATTTTTGCGTCGAATAGCTTACTTATTTCTTAATGATTAGCTAAAAATATCTAAAACTTACACCGGGTTTCTGAAAGGCTTGTCAACGCTAAAATTAACTAATCTCCTGTTAAATCTCTTGTCAAGTCATCTGATTGGTTGTTGATAATTCAGTCAACCAATCAGATGACTTGAAAAGAGATTAAATAAAAGTATAGTTATTTTTCAATATTTTATTGAATTGAAATATCGAATTAATTTATTTTTGACCTAGGAAACTACCCAATTGTACAAACAATGAAAAATATAATAATTTACTGCAAGGTTGTCGTAGTTGCAGGGCAATCGGCTGCCACGCAACGTGTTGCAGGTTTAATTCCCGCACGGAACAACTCTTTCTGTCATCGACAATTTTTTCCAAGTCTGCCTGTGATATATTTATGTAAAGTATGTGTATAAACGCACCCATGGCACAGGAGAAAACCTCAGTGTGAAGTAAAGTTAAAAAAATATGTAATTGACTGCAAACTTGTCGATTCCCGCACAAAAAAATCCTCCTTGTGATTAACAATTTTGTTTCGAGTCTGCTTGTGATATGTATTTAAAATATATTTATAAACGGGCCAATAGCACAGAAGAAAACCCTAGTTTGAGGAAACAAAAAAAAAACACTTTTCGTTCCCTTTAACAGAAATCGCGAAATTTCCATTACCATATAAAATATGATAATCCATAGTCTAAGAGGCGGGGAGGAATTTTTCCATCAAAATCCTATTTGATTAGCTAGCTGTCATAAACAGTGAAGTCGGGGCATATTGATGTGAGCGCAAATATATCAGCATTCAGGTTAAGTTAACAAGAATTTTTACAACTCCTAATATGAAATATGTCAGGAACTTCGCTTCAAGTTTTGCACGGAAAACTTGCTTGTTTTTTCTTATGAATTTGATGTGTTTAACGTGCATTTTGTGTATTATAAGCGCATATTATTATGTCAAAACATAATTGCCAATTGCTAAGGAAAGATCTCTTGTCTCGTGGTCATGGTTTGTACATTAATCACCACACTTGTTTTAAGGGTATTGGTGATTTGAAACTAAATATTTACACTGAAAATGTAAAGATACAGAAGAAATCTGTGTGACCGTTTGTTTTCTGATAAATAAATAATCCAGTCTTATAATCAGTGCTGTGTCGCCCATGATCACCCGCAATAACAGAGGAACTACAAGTGCATTGCCGAGCTTTGGGGATTAGGGATTAGGAGAGGGGAATAATTAGGCCTCCGCTAACCTGCGAAACACAACGCTGTAATTGTTTCACGCCGGTTTTCTGTGAGGCTGTGGTATCGCTCCGGTTGAGCCGACCCATTCGTGCCGAAACATTGCTCTCCCAGACTCAAAATATATGTTTTTATTTTCAATTTTATACTCACCAAAACATTAACAATTTCTTCAAACTGAAACATCAACTAAACTTTGAGTATGAGATAGAGAGAATTATTTATAACTCGACTCCTAGTCTAAGGATTAGATGTCGTCACACCTTGAGCTATTACAATCTCCTGGACTATTATGAATTAGACCAAAGCCTAAGTTTACCGCTGAGCTGTGAAACTGTAGAGGAATTGAAATTAGTTTTTAAATTATATATTTTGAGAGTCGATTTTCGTTTGTTTTGTTTTTGCTTTTAAATTACTTAGGGCATTTAAGCAGTTTTTCCAATGAACCATATTTTGTCTTATTGTCAAAGCTGTGTTTGGATGTGTTTGTAGATAATTCAAACTTATAGTATAAATGCGCAAGTACCTCTGTCTGTCTGCCTTTTCTTCACGCTAAACTACTGAACCGATTTTTGTGAAATTCGGTACAGGCATAGTTTGGAACTCGAGATAGGACATAGGATAGTTTTTATGTCAAAAATCTGCAGGAAGCTACTATTCCACGCGAACGGAGTCATGGTCAAAATCTAGTATTTTATAAGAGTTAAACAAGTCTGTGACAGTTGTATTAAAAAAATAATCCAACAGACGTGGTTTAAAAAAATCGTGGGGACTAGAATTTTCTTCTTTATGGGCATTTTCAAATGTACAAATACCTATACACACCACACTAAGGCAGGAATGGAACCCCCTACACGTTACGCACTAATCGATAATCGGATTTCATTTGTCAAATCTACTCAATACCAAACAACAGTTGCTTTGTTTTTAGATCAACTCCAACTACACAAAATACAACAAACACTACTAAAATACAAATATAACCTCAAATAACCTAAAACTCAACCCTAAAAACGCCCACACCAATAATTACCACCCCCAACAACATATTATCCGCAATTTTTACCCACATGTAACTTCATACAAACTCTATTTGACTTTATAATAACTCCAGTGTCTGAAACCCTTAGAAAACGTGACTTGGGTACATAGTACCCCTTATTCGAGTCGTGTTATCTAGAGAGATACACTCTGTATATAATATACAGGGTGTGTGTATGAAGGACATATTTCGAAGCGAAGTGGCGACTCTTAAATATTCACTGTGAGGTCTCGAATGTGGTTTTTATGTTAAAGAGTGGAATGAAAGAGAGCGGAAAACTATTTTTGAAATAGTAAGGTAGGTACTTAGTGGGAATCGTTGTAAGGTTGAAATTTGTATGTTATGAGCGCTGGACAGGTTTAAAAAATTGGTTCTTAGTTGTTTTGTTGCTAAGAATCTCGTCAGATGCAATTACATCTATACTAATGTTATAAAGAGGTAAAATTTGTAAGTTTGTAGGTCGGGGGTAATCTTTAGAACCACTGGTCGGATTCACAAAATTCTTTCACTTATTGTTAGCTACAATGTTCCCAAATGCTATAGGCTATAAAACATCACGCCACAATATAATGGAGCCGAGCAGCGAATGAAACCGCGCGGGAGTAGCTAGTGTTAGAATATTTTTGATTAAAAACCTATCAATTTCCTTCTGTCATTCTGTCTTTTTGTTTATTAAAAAATAAATCAATCAACTCAAGAATGACACATAACAATAATTAGCAATAGAACACATAATTAGCAAAAGCCCCAAAGAACGTCTCAAAGCTGACCCTGCAGTTAAAATATTACCACCACCTTAAGAACCACCTCATTACTCTACCATGTCCAATCTGAACACCATAAAAACTAGTATCTTGGAAACTCAACCATGGACACAGAATACCCCTTCTGAAACCCCTCCATCATTTGTGGTCTCTACCCTTACTCGGCCGTGGTAACTAAGATTACCCTTTAAATCATTTCTAGGCGGGGTTAGGGTCTTTAGTACCCATTGTGGTCAAGCAAAGGGTTTTGTGTATCGTGTGTGGTCTTACTTGATCTTTGATACAATCCTTTTGGTCTGAAACCGTACTGAAATTTGTTTTGTAAGTATATGTTTACTAGCGACACGCCCCGGCTTCGTGTCGCTTCAATTCTAATACTATATTTTTTACAATTTAATGTATGTTATAAGATTTACAAACCTTTCATCTTCAATCACTCTATCTATTTAAAGAAAACGCATCAAAATCCGTTGTATAGTTTTAAAGGTTTAAGCATAGATAGGGATATAGGGACGGAGACAACATTAAATTATATACATCTATCTATGATATGACTTAATAAAATTAAAGTATATACCTATATATGTATTTTTAATACTTTAGGACAAAAAATCAAAGGCTTTTTCCCTTTGTTGAATTTATAAATCATACTTACCAAGAAAACTGTCAGTCATAAAACAAAGCTTAGCAAAAATCATAGATGTTTTGTAGTAAAATATCTTTTAGTTAAAGGAAAAGTGTATTTATGTATTTCAGTTCAAAGTCTTTTGTTGTAATTTTAGTAAATTAATAATCAAACTGAATCTCTTTGCACGTGGCTTAAGGTCGATGAACTGGGTGAATTAAATATTTTATCGCTTAACCTTTAAAGTTTTTAGTTCTCTGTTCGTATATACATAAGACTGCTTTTTGTACATTTTTGTTCCGGTCTTGTGGTACCTTTGGACAAATTCGGTTGAAAGTTTCTATCTAAGTAAATCATTCGAATTTGAACTTTAAGATATGTTCCTTAAAATAAGATTTTCAAATTAAAATATGTCTTAGCGATATTTAATATGAGAACATAAAGAGAAACATTGACAAATTATTGCACGGAAATTAGATTTTTTAATTGATTTAAAACATTACACGTTTATTTCTCATTTTCTTCCGGAATCAACACACAACAACAGTGTATAATATTTCTAATATATTTATGTCATTGTCTAAATTGCTTGACAGACAACTTATATTATGATTTTTCATTACACTTTCATCACCAATATTCTCGC